GAGAGAGAGAGAGAGAGAGAGAGAGAGAGAGAGAGAGAGAAAGAGAAAGAGAGAAGGAGTATCTGTCACCGAACTGACTATTTAAGGAATAAACTTTTACAAAAGTATATTATACTACACATGTCTGATCAGGGATTACGCGTAATTACTGTGAACATTTTTCAGGGATTTCACGTAAACCCTGATTATTTCAGTGATTACGTGAAATCTCCGAGTGAAACAGGGATTACGCGTTTTCACTGAAATATTCAGTGATTACGCGTATTCACTAGGTACGTGTTCTTACTGTAACATATACATACATATACAGAGAGAGAGAGAGAGAGAGAGAGAGAGAGAGAGAGAGAGAGAGAGAGAGAGAGAGAGAGAGAGAGAGGAGGGGGGGAGACCAATAAAAAGATCAAGAACGAAACAGCGCTCGAAGTTAAGTCTTTAGTTTATTATAACAAGCAATTTTTGGTTGACATTCATGTTAAGGCTTATCACGAATCTGAGATCCTTTTAATATTCTAGTTGCGATGACTGCTAATCCAGGAGAGGAAGGCACTGACTCTAGTGTAGAGGCCAGGGACTATGCCACATTGGTTCTCCGGTCCAGCGGAGACGATGCCGTATTGGTAGTATCGTCCATCTGCTTCCTTGCACACCAGAGGACCGCCAGAGTCTCCCTAGAAGAGATAGGTAAAGAAGTGGTTGAGAGAAATTATTAGAATGAAATACATAGATAAAAGACAGAAAGAAAAATTATGGACCGAAATTAGATTGGTCTAAGTTTCTAAACAGTAATTCTTTTCAGTAATACAAATATTTAAAAAAATATGATACGACGTGAATTCAACATGGAGCCCGGAGACCCTTAATGAACAAACGCTTTTTCCTTTTTCACTTTCAAGCCCCCTCAAAATTTCATTAAAGCTTAGTTACTTTACATCCGTACCGTACTTCTTGTTTCTTACTGTGTGCTTGAATCCTTTCTTATTCAACAGTTTTTAAATCTAATTTGCAGGTGATTGATGGGCGCTACTGGTAGATCCTATTTCTTTTCTTACCCTCTGTTGTTTGTTTCTATCTGTCTTGCTTCTCTTCTGCACCGTATGACCGTTTTTGTGTCGATGTGTTTCTCTTTACTTAATACGTTTAAAAAAAAAAAATTCCTAACAGGATTGGGAAAAGTGAATAGAGTACTCTAGTCTATTAGCTTTGATATTCCATTCCCAGTACTAAGACAATGTGTTCAGCCTGGCTCCATTGTACCATGTACATTTGGAAAAGGGACTTCATTTAATTTACAAACATTTATTGCTCAGCCGCAAATAATATATTCTTGGTAGAGCCGGAAATAACAATTTGAATGACCGGGTACTGCTCCTAACAGGTTGCCATACTCTATACTGATGTACTTTTAAGCTTATTTCGAGTTTCAATGAAAATGTTGTTTATTGCTGAAATAAAAGCAGTGGAATCGTTTCTATCTTTCATTTTTGACCAGTACAAAAAAACTACTGTAATTTTCAATTTAAGAGAAAAAAGTAATTTTTAACACTTGTACTAGTCTTTTTGATCTTCTCAAAACTGTTAACTTAATAACTATAGGATTTTCCACTGTTTAACATAGTGGTGTAATGCCAGTATCTCTCTAGATGTAGAATGAGAAGGGAAAAAAAGAAACAGAGAAAGAAAGGATAGGACTGGAGGGGGACGCTGATCTAGTTGAAACATTTTATATTTTATGCGTGGCGTCGGTAGTCAAGTGGTTATCAAGTCAAGTCGTAATCGTGAGGTTGCAGGTTCGGGGTTCCGAGCCTCAGCGCGACGTTGTGTCATTGGGAAAGGAACGTAAAACGCGTTTTCACCATTTAACCCTGGTGGGAAAGGGGACACAGTCATAGACAGCGAAAGGCCTTTGCAGTAAGTTAGTGTTTTAGCGCCTATCAAATGGCAGTTTGCTTCGTATGCTTCTCAGGAAGTTGAGATTGTTCCAGAATGCTATTAGGTCTGCTGGAGTAATGATATACATGTATGTTGTAAAGCACATAGAACTTGCTGGTGAGCGGGAATTTGCACTGTACAAATGATATCTATTATTTATTATCATTACTTACCTTACAAGAATCCTTATTGTTTCCCCCGGCACAGAAAGTGGTGCTGTCGCCGCCATACTCATCCCTACACGTCAGGTCTGTGGCGATGTTCACTGTTGTCCAGAACATGTCGTCCGGTGACTTGGCATCACGCCCGTCTGCGGGAGGAAACATTTCAATGGATTAACGGTAAAGAAATTCACCGAGATAAACTTACAATGAGAGACTTGTCCGGAAACTAAGGGGGGGGGGAGTATAGGCTCATATTATTTACATTTGATTCACGGTATACTAAAGTAGATGTACACTACTTGCTGCAACTAAATTATAAATACCCAAGAAGCTACGCATCCACTGATCTGGTCAGTAAAGTGACGCGCAGCAGGTAAAACAGTTCAGTAGAGATCCGAGACTGGCTGCACTATTTTGGTCAGAATTTTTGTCAATAAAGTTTCTCTGATACGTCGCAGATGTATGTACGCATGTATGCATGTATCCATGTATGCATGCATGCATGTATGCGTGCATGCGTGTATGCATGTATACATGTATGCCGCGCGTGTGTGTGTATGTGTGTTTGTACGTGTATGTATGTATGACTTTCTATCTATCTATCTATCTATCTATCTATCTATCTATCTATCTATCTATCTATCTATCTATCTATCTTTCTTTCTTTCTATCAATCTAGCATTGTGCTGGGTCACGCTGTGCGAACAATCTTTCAACAAATCTCTATCGGGGAATTCGTGAATTTACTTCTGTTGCTTGAGAACCATTTACTGTAGTTATCATGTTGGTTGAGCCCCCTTGGAGACGCTTGTAAAAAAATCAAATAATGCATAGCCACTCACTGCTTGTGACTCCCCATCCCATGGTCTTGCAACCAGAAGCTTCCTGTGGTGTCTTAGAGCCGTCCACTAGACATACTGGACGCTGGCACCGGTCAAAGGTCAGAGGTTTGCTCAGTTTGATGATGGCAATGTCGTTTTCTAGGAATAAATTAACACGTAAAGATCAATCGACATATAACTTAATCGTTCAAAAGTCAATTTGACAACAAGAGAGAGTAAACTCTTCCCATATTCCCTGCTTTTTCTCACTTAGTCATTCTCTCTCTTTTCTCTCTCTCTCTCTCTCTCTCTCTCTCTCTCTCTCTCTCTCTCTCTCTCTCTCTCTCACACTTTCTCTTTCTCTCTCTCTTTCGTCTCCCCGTAACTGATGGACCAAAACTAATGTATTAGGGTTTAACCGCAGTCCGCACCAAAAGCAGTAGCTGCGCAGTAGCTGAGCAGATCCGCTATGAGCAGTTCTAGAAGTTGGCTCGAGTGTCCGCACCAAAAGCTGTTTTGGCAAGCTGTCTAGTAGCAGTCAGCTCGCTGGCAGCTCGTGCACTGCTTGCAAGTTCTCACCAAAAGCAGATTTTAAGAAGTGTGTACTAGCTCTCTCTGCATGCTTGCTGCTTGTATCGGAGACAGTTCATGACATGGCGGTCCGTAAAATATGTTTGATGCATTTGATGGGCACTTCATCTCTATTGATCGTCTCTTGTATTTGATGGGGAGAAAGAATACTGGGTTCATCCCAATAATGCCAAAAGAGACACGTGCAAGCTCATCTTGTTGGCAATTTTTTTTAAATTGTTTGCTCTTGGTTTCTCCGTTCATAAAGTTAATGTCCTGTTTTCGCCACATACATGGATGTTCCAGGATTAACCTTATGAACTTTAAAGTTTTGGCACTATAAATTATTTGTTTCAGGAAAACACAAGGTATTAATCGCAATAGACATGGACATAAAGTTGCAACAACTTGTAAGAAAGCAATCGTGTTTTTTTTCTTTTAGAATCTAGTTTGTCTGTGTGAGTAATGACAGCACACGCAATGCTCACTCACCGAGATCACCGTTGATGTTGTATTTCTCGTGCACGGTGATCTTGCTGGCACTGTTGGTATGGAGACCGGGGGGTGGAGGTGAGTCAAAAGTAACCTTGGAAGAGCCGGAATAGATGACCATGTCAGACGGGGCTGAAGGAACTTCCTTTCTTTGGCTGGGGAAGATACAGGACGATACATACTAATTGTAGTTATCAATATTGCATTTCAGTGTCAAGATTAGTTCGACAACTCAGATCAGAGAAGACCATGACAGAAAAGAGAAAGAAAAAAAGGTACAGTATGAAATCGGGAATTATAAAATAACTTTAATAGCATTGGTTACTCGCTAATGTTGTAACCACCCAAGAACATAAAACATTGATATCAAAATGCATACCTTTTGCAAGTCCGGATATATCACACATACGCATGCAAGCATTTAAGTCTTAACTCTACAGAATATAGTTTTAGATTTCTTCCGACCCCCCATCGGCATAGTATGATTAATGATTTAAATATTGGGCTCAGATAGAGTGAACTGCTAAGGTTGAAGAATACGAATGAGCATCGATTTATTGTATTCAGTGTAAGGGGGGGGGGGGAGGCTGGAAATAGTTTGGATGAGTTCAGATTAACTAAGGACGTTGAGGAGATGAGCGCGCAAGAAAAAAGAGAAAGATCCTGCAAATATAAAGTTTCTACCATCTGTTTATAAATGTCTTAACGATAAAGCCCCATCCTATCTATCTGAGCTTTTAACACTGTATGTTCCCTCTCGTCAGTTAATGTTATCCACAGATGCAACGAAATTCAGAGCCCGCCTAGAATAAAATTACGATCTTTTGGTGAGAAAAGTTTCTCATTATTTTGGCGAAAAATCTGGAGCACCTTGTCTCAGGATTTCAGAGAAACAACAAATTTTGATAGGTTTAAGCGATTGCTCAAGACACGTTTGTTTAATTGTTAGTTATAGTGTGTTAGTAAGTTCTGATTTTTTAAATATACATGTGTGTATACATAT